TCACAGTACAGAGTTTCACACACTAGTTACTTTACAAACTATGCACAGTACATAAAAAACAAAATGAACACTGACTAGCAATGATACTACTACTAATAATAAAAAAATATAATATAAAGAATTGTGCAAGAGTTAAAAAAAGATATGTTTTGTTTTAGAGACATTAGACTATCAGAATCTGACATTAGGAATCAGAATTAGCCTATTTTCAGTGCAAAATAATCTCAACAGACTATTAACTGTAAAGTMTCACAGTRCATAGACATGCAGACGGAGTGGTGTGGTCTTTTTTAAGTTGTGCAACATTCTTTCAACAATTTAGGAGTTCCACGCTCTTCAGCGTAGGATTTTTGAAAGATTTTTTGCAATATCTAGCTGCAGTCTTTGAAAATTTTGCAGTCTCATTAAGAAATGCCATCTACTCGGTTCCTTCCTGTAAGCTGCTGCAGTTCCAGTTGCCCAGACATCATTGCTTGTTGACTCATGATAGAATGCGGTGAAGCTTGTTTTTTATTACTGTCGATGAGAAAAGGCCAAGTTAAATAAACGATGCACATTTCTAGAATGGGTCATTTTTTTTAGGGAATATTGTTAGATACATCTGTGAAACTCGTTGCCCCTGATGTTGACCAATACAACGAGGCTATAGCGAGCTAGTTGGGTTCTGCTGAGTTTTCATTKTTCATCCAGTTTWACTTTTTTTWACTCTCACAGCTGCAGGACGATGACGTCAAGGAAGAAAGTACTACTTAAAGTCATCATCCTTGGAGACTCTGGGTAAGTGATGTAAAGCAGTGACACCAGGCTTCAGTGATGACCCTATGCTTTCTTTGTCATTATTAGTTTTCTCCAGAGTKTGCTGAATATTATTCCATGGTGTTTGTTTTTGTAGTGTTGGGAAGACCTCATTAATGAACCAGTATGTGAATAAGAAGTTCAGCAACCAGTACAAAGCAACAATCGGAGCTGATTTCCTGACAAAAGAAGTTATGGTAGATGACAGACTCGTCACAATGCAGGTACTGACAGTACTGCAATGAAATACACACATCTAAAATGTTTTACACATTTACCATCTTAAACACAGCAAATCTGTGAACATTTGTTGTTTTTTGTTTATGAAAAAAATCAACTCATATCGTACTGTGTCATTCATTCAGTTTAAACTGTAAACAGTCTACAGGAAACATTGCTAAATTAAAACTGAAAGACATTTCTCTTTTTTTATAATTCAGTCTGAATAGTCATGCTACATTTCATCTGATGAGGTAGGGGTGTTCAAGTCAGTCCAGATGTTGACGTTATCGATACCAACTTTCAGTTTATTATTTAGACGTATTGCTCATTCCAACACATTTACATTCTTTGAATATTGAATAATGTGAGCTGTTCTTTTAAACAAATTAAATGAAATCTCTTTAGTCTCCGCTTGCAGTCGTGTTGCTTAAATTTGGTGAACAGAATGTTTTGAACGTGTTCAGATTTCAAGCAACAAAGCTGAATTTTAAAATGTWTGCAACAAAATCTCGTTATAAATAGCGACAGAATTATCACGRTCTTCTCAAACGCTTCTTGATTTTGAGGAACTGGGATTTGTCTCGAGAGCACTAGAGTTGTGTTTTGACTTTTGCATGGGATATCTCCCATGGAAAACATGCCCGGGTCTAAAAACCAGGCAAGTACTAAACAGTGATTTAAAAAAAAAAACTGGTCTTGTCTTTACTCCATGTAGATTAAACCATAAATGTGGGGGCAGCTGCCAAGGTGGKTACCAAGCAGGTATGACGTGGGCAATGAATTAATGTGCCCAGAATACAGCTGTTCACWTAATAAGTCATTATTTTACAACCCCAATTCCAATGAAGTTGGGAAATTGTGTAAAACATAAATAAAAGCTACCGGTAATTCAAAATGAGTAAATATTTGCAAAAAGCTCAAACTTTATCTGTTTAAACTTTAAATATCTTGTCTTTGTATTGTATTCAGTTGAATAAAGGTTAAAAAGCATTTGTAACTCATCATATTCTGGTTCTATTTATGTTTAAAGGGATCCCTGATTATTTGTAACATTAGACTTTATTTGATAAATGTTTATTTTAACTGTAAAATAAAGACTAAAAATACTGTAGGCTGTTTAGTTTTGTAAACTTTTAAAAATATATTTTAACACGGACGGAGCCGTTTTATTTACACACAAAGCATTCTGAGTAAATGATGATATGGATAGGTCCTCAGTGTGAGCGAGCTATATCCACCCTGAAGGTTAATCTTGGACAATATCTGAYGATCGACTCTTTTAAATGAAACCAGAGAGCGTTGACAGAGAGGAGAAGGTAGAAATGACTCAGCCTGTAACTGAAAATATAGATGGAGGGCAACAGAGCTGCTTCATGGAAGAAGAACCTCAGCTTAGCCTGTTAACCTTTTGCACTAGTGCCGACGCTATATTGTCTTATATGTATAAGCTTGGCGCTAGCACGACAAACAAGCTAAACTGAGGTCCTCCATCCATATTTTCAGTTGCAGACTGAGTCATTTTTGTGTTCCCCTCTCTGTCATGTGGATGGAGGACCTCAGTGACGAGAGGAGAATGTGTAGCGCTGAGCTAATACATACTGTATATATGGCGATAGCGTTGGGGCTAAAGCTAACAGGCTAAGCTGAGGTTCTTCTTCCATGAAGCAGCTCTGTTGTCCTCCATCTATATTTCCAGTTACAGGCTGAGTCATTTCTACCTTCTCCTCTCTGTCAACGCTCTCTGGTTTCATTTAAAAGAGTCGATCATCAGACATTGTCMRAGATTAACCTTCAGGGTGGATATAGCTCRCTAGCAGCCTCACACAGAGGACCTATCCACGTCATCATTTACCCAGAATGCTTTGTGTGTAAATAAAATGGCCCTTATAAAAACTAAACAGCCTACAGTATTTTACAGTCTTTATTTTACAGTTAAAATACGTTTATTAAATAAAGTCTAATGTTACAACTAATCATGGATCCCTTTAACATTGTTCCAGCTTCATTGGAATTGGGGTTGTAAAATAATTGACATGTATTTTCATGGCTYGCTGGTCACTTTGTCGTAAATACTCAAAAATCAAGACTGCAATAGAAAATTAAGTATCTTCTCACATTTCTGAGTACACAAACTAAAGACCAAGTGATAACTTTAACACGAGAGACCAGTTTAGTTTGGCATTATTAAATTAATCAAAGAATACAGTGATGTATATTAGTTAATACAGTATCTACGTTGTCCTCCTGTTCCCCCTGAAGATTATATTACTGTTCCCTTTCACATTTGAGAGTAATATCCTGCTGCAGAAGTGTATTTATTATGTGCGTCTTCAGGTGAACACATTCTTTGTGGTATGTTCAGGTGCTTTATTTTTGGCTACACATTTGTGTGATGTGGAGACAGAACAGGAGGATCTGTCATTACTGCTGAACATAACACCATTTTTGTGTAAAGCCCTAATAAGATAATAGAGCATCTAAGGTCAAGACGATATGAAACATACAGCATGAACATAAATAATGAGTTTAAGCAAACTGATTTCTTTTACATTCTGGATTACAGATCTGGGACACAGCYGGTCAAGAGAGGTTTCAGTCCTTAGGCGTAGCTTTCTACCGTGGAGCAGACTGCTGTGTTCTGGTCTTTGACGTCACCGCACCCAACACCTTCAAGACTTTAGACAGCTGGAGGGACGAATTCTTGATCCAGGCAAGCCCACGAGATCCAGAGAACTTCCCCTTCGTGGTGCTCGGCAACAAGATCGACTTGGAGAACAGACAGGTTGACTAACTTGGTCTAATTTAAGCTCTTTATGTGTCAGTTATTTTTTTATTGGTGATAGTTTTATTCCACGAAAATTGTTTACAGTTGTAGAATTATTGAAAGGTATCGGGGWTGTAACGATTTGCTCAAGCCCTGATTCGATTACCAGTGGTGGGCACAGTTCCCCTAAAGCACTAATMAGGAAACTAATTTCCTGATTAGTGCTTTAGGGCTTTTGCCAATTWAAAAAATTACTAGTGGATTAGCACTTGCTAAATTTAGAAGCACTAACTGAGGTCTATAAATGTTATTGATCAACGTTTATGTTAACAGCTGAGGGTGAAAACATTTTGTTCATTTGTGTGTCACTGATCCACCAGGTGACAATATATGAAAACAAATACAGCTGTGGAATGTAAATGATAAGTCTTAAGAGAGCAACATGACAACATGTGACTCATGTTGTCTGTTCAAGAATGTTCATGGGTTGACTGGGTTATTTTAGTGCTTTAGAATTAGCTTTTGCTAAATTTTCAGTGTGTTAGTGCTTTAGAATTAGGGGACCGAAATATTTGAGTTAGTGTTTTAGGGCTAGTGGAATTAACTTTTGGGTTAGTCCTGCCCACCACTGTCGATTATCAAATTTAAGTTCACGAATGTGATTATTTAAAAAACTTTTTTTCAACAAAATGAATTGTAGCCTTTTTATAGCCAAATATGTTTATTTTCTTTTAACATCACCATTTTCTATTGTATTACTRAGGGATTAAAACTTCAAAATAAATAAATGTCATTACAAATACTTTTTTGACCAAAAGTTTTCAAGTATCAAACTGAATTTGTCTTAAAGACATATCTAACTGTAATACAATAACAAGGAAATCGATTAATWAATTTTCAAGAATTGATTCCCATTTTAAGGACTTATATTTGATTATTAATCGATTCTGGATTAATTGTTACATCCCTAAAATGTATTTTAAATTTTACAAAATGGTTAGATGCTTCATGTTTTTATTATTAACATCAGGTCTTTTGTACATCAGGTAACAACCAAACGAGCACAGGCTTGGTGCCAGAGCAAGAACAACATCCCATATTTTGAAACCAGCGCTAAGGAGGCAATCAATGTGGAGCAGGCCTTCCAGACTATTGCACGCAATGCTCTAAAACAGGTAATGGAAACCTAGGAGGTCTGACCCCAGACTAAGAAATATCACTCTTTGTGTTGAGGCATACAGCCTGTTACTCACTCTCTCCTCTCTCTCTCTGATCTCAGGAAACTGAAGTGGAGCTGTACAACGAGTTCCCCGACCCGATAAAGCTGGACAGGAACGAGCGAGCCAAGCCRTCTGCAGAAACCTGCAGCTGCTGAGGACTCTGAAGATCAGCGGGTCACCCTCGATACCCTGTCTTGCCTTGTCTATATACCCCCTTCCCTATGGCCAACTGTGTTATGCCCTAATGCCCACCATCCAAGCAGCATCCCATGCAGAGTACATGACAACCCAATGTGCAACAGTCACTTCYTTATGTAAACAAAACACACATTTTCTATCAAATCTGAATCTCCTAGCCCAAAGAGCACCTCAAGAGAATATGACGTATGATGCTTGTCACTTCCCAGTGTTTCCCCTCATGATGGTTTGGGTTTATTTCATATTCAGGTYCACATATAATGCTGCTTTCACTCCCCAGTTTGGTCCGAACTGCTTTTATTTTGATACTCGCAGTGGAAAATTAAAACATTACATCGATGTGTATTTTGAAGGTTTTAAATTAAGTTAGACAAATTGTATTTTTTTTTTAAATCAAAGCAGTTATTTGTAGTGTAGTCAGCCCATCAGTGCTGCATGGACAAGTAAACCCTGCTGGCCCATAATCATTTGTGTTGTGGCTTAAATTACCGTCACTCTTAAAAAATACTTGTTACCATGTTTTCACATAAGCCTCATAAAAAGAAAGTTATTTAATCTGGGGTGTGTGTGTGTGTTTGTGTGTGTGCGAGAAAATTTGCACAAGTAGATTACAACATTATGCTGGTCCTTAATAATTGGCAAAAAAAAAAAAAAGAATACAGTTCATCTTTACTCAACATGTAATTATTTCCACTTTTTTATCATATTAAATAACTTAGATTTGTAGAACAGCTCATTTTGAGCCACAGTTGGTGTGATTGTTGCTCAGTTTGAGACTTCGCTCCATGATGTCTGTTTCTTTACTTCTTGTAATCTATTAGTTCATTCAGCGTCTGAGGTGAGAATGAACCAAATCAGTACGGCGTATTAATCTGCCTGGTGTCTTTTGCTTTTAGCTTGTTTTGTTTTTTCCTCTCAGCTATTTCAAGGACTTGTAAATTTGCATACATCTCGTGTTGTAAATCTCCATATTTGACTTTACCATTTGTTTGTGTTGATAAACCATTTAAGTGCTTGACTTTTCTTTTAACCAATCAGATCTTTAACTGCCTGTTTGTATTTTGTTAAAACTTAGAAAGCATACATACTGTACTACATACATACATACATACTCAAGAATGGAAAATGTGGGGAAGTATTTGGCATTCATTATTATTACATATTAATATGATAAATGCACATCTACATTGTTTCAAAATGTCTGTTTGAAGTAAAGAAAATAAAAATCTTGACTTAAGCAAACATATGAATGTATTTATTTGTCAGTCTTGAACAGAGACAACTTATGTAAAAAAAAAGTACAAAGAGTAAATCTTTTTCAACACACCAATGAAAAAGTAGAAAATGTGGAACCTGCATTGTACCTCAATCTGCTGCATTTCCAGAGTCAGTTCATTATTTTCACTTGGTTTTTGGTTTCTTGTTGGGTCCTTGGAGCCACATCTGCAGAGCTCCAACAGACTTGTGTGGAGTCTCTGCCTTGATGCTTTGCTCTTCTTTAATGTCGGACTCTTTCCTCTTTAAAGAGCTGCTGCTGGACAACCAGCTCATCATCATCTTACTGCTGGCTGTGGGTTTGGGCTCCTGTAAAAGCAGCRCTTCAGTTACATTTTCTAACAGTATTTAGTATATTTCTTTGAAATACTCATGTAATACCTTTTTCTTGTTGAGATCCACTGGTTGGAGGCACTCTGGGGAGTTGTTGCGCGAGTTGTTGACGAGAGGCGACACGGGGTGAAAGGTCAAAACGTTTTTAGACTGCAGCAACTTCAGTGCATCCAGAGACTTCACCTGGCCGAAATCAAGCCATCTTCTCACTTCTTCTTCTCCATCCAGGATCGCTGGCATCCTGAAACAGAACCATGAAGCCATTAATGAAGCTGCACAGACTCAAAGGAAAGCTTTTTTGTTCGTACCGATCATGAATGCTTTCAAGATTTGGAGAAGCGTTCACGGTGATGATGGTGTACGAGTACAGGGGCTCTCCACCGGCTGGTGGTGTCCAGCAGTCAAACACTCCAGCCATAGTCAGCAGCCTCCATCCAGTCCACTCAGCTGGTGCTTCTGTGGCCTTGCCAACATCAACACAGCAGGGATTTTACATTGCAGTACTGACAAATACACTTAGCACTACTAGTAGCTAAATTTGAGTTTGGTAGATTATGTCTTTGTTGTAACAATGCTTCTTGGCAATACATCTTATATGTTAGAAAGTCTGTTAAATTCCCTTTTAAATGGTGTCAGATTTRTAAGGAGCATGCATTTGTGGGATGAGCAGTAGAGCTGAGTATGTGGGTTGCACACATGAAAAATGTCAACTCTTACTTGACAAACAGCTCATTTTGCTGTTGACTTGTTTGATGTTTGGTGGACTGGATGATTGAAGTTTCAACAAACAAGACATGTTGGCAATTTAACAAACAGCAGCATGTGTAAATACAGAATGTAATAATCAATAATACAGGTATAAAATAAAAGACATTTTCAGCCACACTCCATACCAGTAGGTGGATTCAAGATTTATTGCCAAGAAGCATTGTTACAAAGAAATTATCCACTAAACACTAATTTCCTAACTTTTTGTTTTGTTTATAGTTTGAATGAAGTTTAATGCATAAACTTGTCTGCTGCGTAACATTTAGATACCAAAGGAAACACCTGGGTGACGTCTGTTTTGCCACAGTTACTTTTTTCCATTTTCATAAAAGAAAATGAGAAAATACTGGTGCTGTTATAAAAACAACAAACCTCTGACGAACCAGGAGAGGTCTCCCCTGCAGGGTGGAAATTGTTTGTTTTCTCTTTATTGCAAACAGGAGAAGTGGAGTCATCCTGATCCTCCTCCTTATCCTGGCTACCTTTAGTCTGAGGGAAATAGATGAAGAAAGGCTGCTTGTCTTTGTCCGTCCTCTGCCACTCGTAAAACCCATCAGCCAGGATGACGCAGCGCCGTCCTTTCAGCAAGGGATCCTTAAGAAAATGTGTAAATTGTCAAATCAYGCTGCTGCATAGTTAACTTGAGATTAAACACAAAGTAGTTAGGATTTTACAAACGTGGGCACCTTGTAGGTCTTTTTCTGGAGTATATTTTCACTGCGGCAGTTAGTAGTACTGTACTGCATCTTGCTTGGGTCGTTCTCCTTGAACCACGCAGGTATTAGACCCCAACGCATGGAAGCCAAAACACACTCGTCCACAGGAGCACTCTGAGGAAACGTTCAAACCATAAAGTTAACATTAAACACTGTAAGGTTAAACAAATAGTAAACTCTATCTTAACTTTGTTTTTATGTTGATGAGATGACAAATCAGCAAATGTGTCAGTATTATTTTAGATTGTACTGAGTGGTGTATTTTATTGCACAGAAGCTCATAGAAAGCTACTTATTTAAGTTTAAATGTATTTTACTAAAAGTGAACATGTGTAATGCAGCACAGTTGAAAAAGCATATCTTCTGTGTTTTTTTGTCAAATCTTGTGCACGATGAGTTGATGATGGCATTATGACACCTAACAAGATGTGATAGAGTTCAGAGTCAGGTTTAGATATGCATTCAGAGATGTCAAGTAACTAAGTACAAATACTTTTTTTTACTTTACTTAAGTAGAAATTTTGGTTATTTATACTTTAGTGGAGTAATTGTTTTTCAGCCTACTTTTTACTTCTACTCCTTACATTTTAATTCAAATATCTGTACTTTCTACTCCTTACATTTAAAAAATGCAAAGAGTATTTCATTTCTTTTTAACTTGACTTGTTTTTATTCCATATTTTCATTGTTCAGAAAATAAAATTAATAAATGGAAATCTATCCAGATACATGGAGGCCTTGGATAGAGTGAATTTGATTGTGGTTGGATGAGAAATGTAAATATACTGTATACCATTCTGACAGCCTGTTGGACTGAACGCACTCCATCACACCTGTATGACACAAATCACATCACATCCAGCAGGACAAACTGTAGCAGATGGAGCCTAGAATGAAGATGATCGTGGCTGAAACATGTTCCAAAATTTTCAGCATTAACATTTTAATTTAACATTATACTATTATACATGCTATAGCAGTGGTTCCCAAACTTTTCAGCTTTTGACCCACAAAATACCAGCAGCAGAGACCTGAGCCCCCAGCTGTTGTTGGTTAAGAAACATTGTTTTTATGTCAAATAAACAAGAGCATACTAGCATTATTTATTATGTTATTTTTGTCCATTTTAAGAACACTACTCTTGTTATTYTGTAAAAACAAAGGAAATTTTTTTCTTAGTTGTCATTTCTTTGTGTAATTAATTCAAAAATATTTTCAGGATCCCATCTTGATGTTTCAGGACACAACTGTGGGTCCCAACCCCAACTTTGGACCCACTGTACTATAGAACCCTGCGGCACAGCCTCAGCTTTTATCCTTAATGCCTTTTTTAAGTGTTCATTACTTTTACTTTTATACTTTAAGTGTTTTTAAAACCAGTCCTTTTATATTTTTACTTGATTAAAATTCTTGAGTTGATACTTCTACTTCCAAAAAAAAGTATTTTAAACCCTAGTATCTATACTTCTACTTAAGTAATGAATGTGAATACTTTTGACACCTCTGTGTGCATTTGATTACTTAGACTTTTACTAAAAATCGATCCATTGTTGAGTTATTTTGCTAAAAGTCTAATGGTTTGTGCAAAGTCTAGWACTCAAAGCATGTGCTGATTTGCTACAACACTGATCTTTCTGTAAAACTGAGTTATAGCCCTGGCTGTAGCTGCCATCTTTACTCCTGTTGACTCAGGTGTAGCTGTATTACCCATTAATTACAGTCTGTGTCATTAAACTATGGCCAGTGGTTCAGAGAATATTTTGCTAACAAACTTCTTTTTACACATTGTGCAGCTGTTTCATAAAGGTTCAATTTGAATCTTCGTCACGCTTCATCAGTTCCCTTTCAGCAGAGGTAAAAAGCCCATAATAACATTTAGCACATCTGCACAGGTGTTGCGAATCAAACTAATGAACTCGACCGACCTGCTCGAAATGTCTGTGGGACAGCAGAACCGGACTCGTGGATTGCGGACTCTTGTTATAGGACGGTCGGTATTTGTCGGCGTCCCCATCCCTCCAGCGGGGCTGTCTCCGGTGTCCGCTCCGGTCTCTGTAGGAGCAGGCTCGACTCACTTCGTCTGGAGCCAGAGTGCACGCAGTCCTGCCACACATTTCACCGAACTAAAACAATTGTGTTAGCGCGTTAGCTTGAGTTGCTCGAACCAAAACCTGTCTCACTCTGTAAAAACAGACGTAACCTTGGACCAGTGCCTACTCACCAGTTGTTAAGTGCTTCGACATATGTCAGAAGATGGCATTTAATAATATGTCGTCTGTGTTGCGAGTTTGTCAACACAAGTCGAGTGTGTGTTTTGAATCTCGTGCCTGCAGCGGCAGGAACTTCCACTATTTATTGGGTGTACCCCATTTATTCGCCAGCGCACGTAATGGTGCACAGCGTCGCGCCAGACACTTTTCCTACGTGGAAGATACTGTGTAAACTCCTCCCTCGTAGCTTCTCGTCAATCTAGCTGTGCAATGCGCCGGTGCACTGTTAAGGAGTGTGCACTCAGCACGTACTGAAGTAAAGATGGCGGCACACACACACACCCTTGTATTTTGCATAAAACTGAGGACATTGTTTTGACTTACATTCATTTTTTAAACTGCATTTATGCCTAACCCAGAAAATTTCCCTAAAATTAACCATTACTGGTCTATAGTTAACACTAACCTGAACCAAAACTTAATTCACACCATACCTCTAAACCTAACCAGTAAAGCACAGCAGAGCTGCAAACAAAGTGAGGACATTGGTCATCACATCAAAGACCTCACAAATGGTCCTCACTCTGTAGTAAAAAAACAAAAACAAAACAAACTACAAACAAAAACGATGGTTATCTTGCTATTAATTATAAATCACTTTTTACCTGAATGTATCAATCTTAGAACACTTTGCATTAAATGTTAAGCAAAAAATGTCTTGAGAATAATTGTTAAAATGAAAACATTTGCTGTAGTAAAACATAAGCACAATTTTTTTTAAAAATATTAAATATCTTCATAAAATAAAAAAATGAACTGTTAAAATTTATGATTGGTTTCACTTTTTTTACCCTATATTGTTACCAAAATAAAATTAACACTTACAGCCTTTCACTGGGTATGAGAAGGATAAACGTTTGTGCTCAATCCAGTTGAAATCACATTTCTTATTCCATCAAGGGTCAACAAGTCTGTTGCTTTTAACAGAGGCATGTTCTGCATTTTTATCAAACAGATGAGCAAACAAACTAAACATGACAACATTTGACCACAGAGGAAAACAAAAGTATGTTTCAAAGAATGACTGTTCAGCAAGTAAAATAAATATGGACATTTTGACCAAAACAAACTCCTTTCTTCAATTTGCTTTTTGTCGCTCGCTGCTGAACGGCAGAAAGGTTTACCCTCCGTGTGCATTGTTTCTGTCTTAGTAAAATATCTCATGAACACAACAAATTTCGATGACATTTCAGAAAGTAATCACTGAATGTACCTCTTCAGCTGATTAACATTTGGAGTCAGTCTACTTCAGATGCTCAGTATTAACACAAATGTTATAGACAGTGTGTTAAAATCAATGTATCTGAGTCATTCACAACACAGTCTGAGCTGTGACATCTCACAATATCACCTGAACACAATTTTTTTGTGTGTGTGATTTGACCATAACCACATCAATTCTGTATTTGTAGGATGAAATTATCTTGGTTTGAACTTCTGGCATGAAATTTCATACCTTCAGCCCCAGGCCTCCATTGAAAAATAATTTAATTTATAACATATAACGCATTATAACACTTAATAACACATATACATAATATAAGTTAGAACATAATGAACTATTAATACATTTAATTGAACTGAGTTTAATTGAAAAAGAGATCTGTAATCTTAAATAAAATTATTATAGAAAGTGTATTTACTACAGGGTTTTATTTAACCTGGGCTACATTAACCCACGTTGACCAGGTGGTGGCGGTAGCGGCCAGGTACAAACTGAATATTATCAGCCGAAGAAGAAGAAAAACACCCTGCTTCAACAGTGGTAAGAAATGGCGGCGTCTGTGTGCAGAGTCGGAAGCGTCGTGGGTCGAGTCCTCGGCAAAACCCGCAGTGTACGTATAATAAAATAAAACAAAACACTTTTCCAGGAATAAAACCCCCCACAGCATCTCGGATGTGGCAGATATGTGCGCTGTGCTAAACCCGGAGTGAGTTTGCTAACTGGTTAGACTTGGTTAGCTTGCGGTGAATGAAGGTCAACAAGCAAACTTAAGCTTAGCGTTTATAAACCCCTTGATAACAAAAAGAGTCCACTTTACACTAAAATGACGCTTTTTATTTTAGTTGGCTGTGATGATCCGTGATTTTTAACATTTAGAATTTATTCTCACTTTACCCTAATGCTTCCCTGCTACTGGTGTTAGCATAATGGTGACTTTTGAAAAACACACAGGACTCGAGTTTATGTTGACGCTGCATCTGCTAAATCTAAACGAGTTGCTCGTTTGAGAGTTTTAAGAAAACAATGTATTATTACTCAGTAATAGTAAAGAGACTGAAAATGCAGCCTGTTATGAACATTGTTAAAACGATTGTCCTAGTTAAGACTCGGTAATTTATATTGAGAATTGCTTATTTTATAACTCAGCAAATCTTAAGTGAAACATGAACAGAACTTTAAAACAACGTAAATCCTTGTTTTCTGTTTAGATGCCATGTGATAAACCTTTCTGCACATTATCAGATTTCATAAATTGTAGATGATGAACAGTATTTTAGTTCAGTGAACTTGTATTATTAAAGTGTGTTTTAGTTTCACCATTATTGGGGCCCTGATGCTTCTAATTACGCGATTGTTTGTGTCAGATTGTTTTCAACAAAATGAGAAACTTTTCTTTTTTTTTTCTGCACCCTTCCAGCCCATCCTGCTGTCTCTGAGGCGTGGACAGGCTTCTGTCAGCTATGCCCAGAGCCTCCTGGGAGCCCCCGAGACTCATCTTACGACCCTCGACAATGGTTTAAGGGTTGCATCTGAAGATACTGGACATGCAACTTGTACGGTAAGAACAAAACAATATCTTCCCTTTTTTAATTAAAGTGCACAGTAATCATCATGTTTTAATCCAGTTGTACAACAGTATAACTTGAGCTGCTCCCTTACACAGGTTGGGCTGTGGATCAGTGTCGGCAGTCGCTATGAGAGTGAGAAGCACAATGGAACTGGCTTTTTCCTGGAGCACATGGCATTCAAGGTACACTTAATAATCAAAAGTCTTAAACAGAATTTTTTTTGTCAGATTAGTTATATTTACTAGCTTTCTTTTACTTTTACAGTTGTGCATTTTACTTCCTTTCATACAGTTTTTTTCTTTCACCAGTGTGCATTTTAGGATCGGCTCTAAGCCCCTTGTTCTTGATTAGGTCAGGCAGGAATCCTCGTGGACTCTGTTTAGCAATAGGTGTAAGAGAACTGAGAGGTGGAGGTATGCACTAGAAAGAAGAGGAATGAAGGTCAGCTGTAGTGCGATAGAGTACAGGGGTGTGAACGAGAGGGAGGCAGGTGGAACAGCAAGGCAACAAGGAGTAGACATCACAAAGGTGCAGGATTTCAAGTATTCAGGGTCCACTGTCCATGAACTTAAGGAGTGTGGCAAAGAAGTGAAGAAGAGTGTAGATCGGATGGAGCAATATTTCAGGAGTGTTATGTGAAAAAAAGGGAAGCAAAGGTTAAAAGAAAGGTTTACAAGAGAGTAGTGAGACCAGGGGTCTCATTTATAAAGGATTGCGTGGAAACTATACTAAAAGTGAACGTACGGCCAAAAAAATTTCAGATTTATAAAACAGTGCGTACGCATGTTTCTGCGCATCTTTTCTTTATAAATCACAGCCGCACGTCAGAGTTTGCGCACGAGGTCCCGCCTCAGGTTCTACCCTCTACACGCCCACACTCAACCATAAACAGTCAATGTAAAGTACCTCATGAATGTTAAGATGTATTTAAATCAGTCAGCTGATCAATGCCAACAAAAGTGATTGGTTCAGACGCTCCGTCATGTGTCTGGAGGWTGACAGGTGCTGACTGACAGCTGCTCACGTGAACAGAATGTCTGTAATTGACACAGATTTTCCTACATTTTGCTTTAGAGTAATCTAACGATTTTAATAAAAAAAATACTCAGCTTCAAATTAATTTTCCCTCAGTCTGCAGGACGATAAAAACAATAAAATAAAATTAAATAAGTCAGATAAAATTAGAAATAAGTTCACTGCTCTTCTCCTCGTCCTCTCCCCCTCCTGCCTGCTCTGTTATCTGCGGCAGACACCCCCGCCCCGCGCGCACGCACACACACACGCGCGCGCATCCAAAGCGTGACTTTTGCTGTCCTGCTGTTCTTGTCGTGGAGGGGTCTGTGGGTCAGGGAGGGGTCTGTGGGTCAGGGAGGGGTCTGTGGGTCAGGGAGGGGTCTGTGGGTCAGGGTCGTCTGAGGAGGAAGCTGATGAAGGGAGTTGCACACGGGAACTTTTATTTAAGATTTAAGTTTTTTTATTTCAAAGGTCCTCATGGCTCAGCAGCAGAAGCATAAATATTATTGTTAAGAAAGCTGATGATGAAGTTGAATAAAAATCGGGTAAGTCTGATGAAGGTAAATTAAATATCTGACAGTGATCATGATACAGTGTGGCTATAATTCACCACTTCACCATCTGTGTCGCAGTTTCCCGTCTCCAAAATGAGCGTACGCATGGGTCATAGCTGGGGTGAGGCACCGCAGATTTTATAAATCACAACCTTGGCGTACAAAGTGGCGTACGCAAGTTTCTGGGCTCAAATTGTGCGTACGCCAGTTTTATAAATCCGACCCCAGGCCTGGTTTGGAGACAGTGGTGCTGACAGAATGACAGGTGTCAGAGCTGAAGATGTTGAGGTTCTTGGGAGTGACAAGGATGTATCAGATTAGCACAGGTTGAACCACTGGGAGATCGTCAGAGACCAGACTGAGATGGTTTGGACATGTCCAGAGGAGGGACAAAAGGTTATTGGTAGAAGGATGTTAATGCAGCTGATAGAAACACAGCCCTGTTTTATTTCTCATCTTTTTTGTTGACTTTTCTGCTTTTCTGTCCTACATCACAACACATTGGTTTGCGTGTGTGGCACAAATAACAGTACTGTCACACCCAATACCTGTGGGGGGAGCCAAAGAGCAACAAACAAATCTCTTGAGCCTCTTGTGTTGCTTTAGCTCCATCAGATTTGACTGAACCTATGCTTTGCAAACATTTTCGTTCCCCTGCAGGGAACTAAGAAGCTTTTGCAAACAGCTCTGGAGCAGCAGGTGGAGTCCATAGGTGCCCACCTGAGTGCCTACACCTCCCGTGAGCATACTGCATACTACATGAAGACCCATGCCAAAGATCTGCCTAAAGGTAAGATTGAAACATTCTGAAAAATGTTCATTATTACTGCAATAATGTGTGAGTTAGTTTACAGTTCGCTTGTCACTTGTCACTGCCTGCGAGATTAAGCCATTCAGGAAATGTTTGTGTCCCTTTTGCACGGGGCAGGAATTCCATTTTGTTCCTCCGTTTCTCTGCACTAACGTGTGTGCGTGTCTCCTGTTTGCCAGCTGTGGAGCTGCTGTCAGAGGTCGTGCAGAACCTCTCGCTGAACGAGGCAGACATCGAGCAGCAGAGGAACGTGGTGCTGCGTGAGCTGGAGGAGGTTGAGGGCAACCTGCAGGAAGTCTGCCTGGACTTCCTGCACGCCACAGCTTACCAGGGCACTCCTCTTGGTCAGAGTGTGTTGGGCCCCTCCAGCAATGCCAGGTAGGAGGACCTGATTTGTTTCAGCAGGAACGCACCATCGTTAGCTTAGCTCCTCATCAGACACCACTACCCTGCTTTAATTATGTTGTTCCTCAAAATGTCTGCATCGTTTTCTTGTGTTTGCTGCTCGCAGGAATTTGACTCGTCAGGATTTGGTGAATTACATCAACAGTCATTATAAAGCCCCTCGGATGGTGCTGGCTGCTGCTGGAGGTAGGTGACTTTGCTTTCGAACAGGGAATATGAGAAGGAACGTGTGGATTCCTGCAACTGTTTGCTCATTTAATGTGCTTCATCTACAGGTATTAACCACGAGGAGCTGGTTGGTTTGGCCAAAACACATTTAAGCGGATTGTCTTTTGAGTATGAGAAAGATGCCATCCCAGTGTTGCCACCCTGCCGATTTACTGGCAGTGAGGTGAGGTTAGCTTTTGTTTTTTGGACACAATATAAAAATTTAGATTTAGCTTTGTGAAAGATTTGCTCTAAAGGAAGGTTTAAACTTTGGTTTGATGGAAGAAATATAATATTAGAAAGGTCTGTTTAAATGCCTAATTATGAAATGAATTTAATTCTACTTTGAAGAGATGATTAAATACATTTTTTTCTTGATTGTGGCTCAGATGTGTTTAATTTAATTGCATTAAATAATAAAATATTTGTTTCCTCACAGATTCGTATGCGGGACGACGATCTTCCTCTGGCACACATTGCCATCGCTGTGGAAAGCCCTGGTGTCACCAGTCCAGATATTGTGCCTCTCATGGTCGCCAACGCCATCATTGGTAGCTATGACCTTACCTACGGTGGTGACAAGGTGTGAAGAATTACATTTTCTTCTTCTTACATGATTTTGTTTATGGTTATTTGTTTAAACAAAGACAAGTGAAAGCTGTTGTGTCGGTTTAGGATCATCCCCTTTAAGCTTTGCCCTCTTGGGACTGTTTATGTCCTAAGTGGCCATGATGAAGGGGTAGAACAAAGTCTCTGTGAAAACCTGAGTCAGGGGTCTCGTCTCTGCCTCTGGACCCTTCAGGAGGAACACATTTTTGTCCTTTCTCTAAGAAACACATTTCAGTTCATTCATAGGGAGCATGCAGATTAACAGGAACAAAATTAAACCTAAAAACTATGGCTGGGTAAAAAAAATAGATTTAATTGATCTTGGATCGATTTCATTTAAATTTGGAAAAATTGATTCACAGGACATGAGATCAATTCTTCCCCATGGAGTCTTGTGTGYGCGTCTGAAACACGTTTCTATATTTTGTCTCTCCTGGCTTGCCGTATGTTTACATCCRTTTGATGTTCAGTGCAAACATTAGCTTTCGATAACAAACTATCTGGAGCAAAACAAAAGAAATTAAGGAATTACTAACATTATCAGCCGATTCTCAGCAGAACTTGAAGATAACAAAGACCTTGGTGACTTTTGTTTACAAAGATTTGCACTCAAGTGGTAGTAAAAATAAGCTGCTTGTTCAGGCGCTCGAACCAAACAACAGTATCTAAATATCTGACTGAAACAGTTCTCATGTATAAATGTATTAAAGACATTCTAACAAAATCCTTTAGTTACCAATATTATTATTTTTAAACTTTAAGAAACGTCTTAATGAAATTCACAGTGATGAAATGTTGTAGTTGTATTATTTGTTTTAATAAGGTATAAGTAATATAATTTTTAATAAGCTATATTGAACATAACAGAAGCAGAAACATCACAAATATACAATTTGCATACGCTCAAAAGGAGTGAGCAGAAGTATATTTATATTAGCMCAACTCTTCTCCTGCAACCTTATTCCATCACTTCTTATGTATGAAGAAAATTMTTAATTTCCAAAGAATGAACTCCTCCAACAACACTGTCACCTGCAATTCCTTTTTAATTTAAAACTTTTAAACTTGTGACAGTTTTCCTTCAAGATTAAACTGTTTAATTTAAAAGTTTGTCCTTTTGGTGAAGAGAAAAAAATAGTGATATTGTATTTTGCAACACAGTTGAACCATTTTCATTATTTTAGACCAGATTGAATTGAATCRAATCGAATCATGGTTAATCGATTCAGGACCTTATGAATCGAGTCGATCTAGAGAATTGGCCACGATACCCAGCCYTACTAAAAATAAACACTAGAAATATTTTTGATCTGTATGATTTCTGAATGTTTTTGATTACTGTCAAGTTTCACTCAATTGTTCAATATTTTTGTATTGATTTGCTGTAATTATATTAACCCACCCCATATACAGTAATGGGATAATTTTTAGTCGGGGAAAAAGGTGATTGCATCATAAAACGTGGAAGTTAGAGAAACAAATACTAAGAAAAAAAGTAATAGGGTAAAAATAAAATACATTTTATACGACCCTGCCGACACTCAGATTCTTGGATACTGTATTTCTGATTTATTGATGAAGTCTTGTAAGAACAAGAAATGTTTGTCGTACAGAACCTGAGCAGCCGTCTGGCTCGCCTAGCTGTGGAGTACAAACTGTGCCACAGCTTCCAGGCCTTCCATTCGCCATACAGCGATACCGGCCTGCTGGGCATCTACTTTGTGACTGATAAATACCATATTGATGACATGATGCACTGGAGTCAGAACGCCTGGTAAGTCAAGACTCAAAGACAGAAAGTCACTGAAAGTCTGGCATTTATCCAAAGAAATTATGTTTTTATGTTTCATTTCCTGCTTCTCCCACAGGATGAATCTGTGCACCACAGCCACGGAGAGTGAGGTGGCCAGAGGTCGAAACGCTGTGAAGGCCAGCCTGATCGGACAGCTGAATGGTATGAATGTCTAGTAGAAATCTGTAGATAAAGATTAATCTAAAACACAGCTGAACGTGAAATCAGTGGGCTGTTAATCTCGTAGGAACGACCCCGATCTGTGATGAAATCGGCAGACACATCCTGTACCACGGGCGCCGTATTCCTCTCGCTGAGTGGAACGCTCGGATCGATGTAAGTTATTTACTGCAGCACCTCTTCAAAACCAACATTTTCAGACCTAGAATTTAAAAAATAAATAAATCTGATCTCCTTTCAGGCTGTGACTCCCCGTGTGCTGCGTGATGTCTGCTACGAATATATTTACGACAAGTGTCCGGCTATGGTAGGCATAGGTGAGTTCTGTGTGATTTTTAGTCTGCAACAAACTCGGTCCTGGTTGTTGTTTGTACTAATCGATGCTTCCCTCCTCTCCCCACCAGGCCCCATCGAGGCGTTAACAGACTACAACAGGGTGCGCAGTAATATGTACTGGCTCAGGTTTTAAGAAGACTTGTGGCATTACACTTTGTGTGTCCTGTTTTTTTTTTTTTCTTTCTTTCTCCTCAACCACACTTGGCTTTTCTCTTTTGGTATCTCAACAAAAGTGAACCGAGGATTAAATCTGATTGCGTAACAACTMATGCAGCCATCCTCTCCTCTGTCCGACTCCCTCTTTTACCCCACCCACTCAGTACTTAGTTATCTGTGAAGGGGGCAGCCCACCTGAGTCCTGAAAATACTCTGGTTACATATTGGTTGTACAGGTATTCACCATCTGATAGTGTGCTGTTGATGAAAGGCTGTGAGAGCCAACCTGAAAATTCTGTAATCATCTACATAATTCAGCCAAGATGAAATATAAACCTTATGGTTCGAGAGTATATTTATCATTTCTGTAACGTTTGTTTCTGTCCACTATTGTACATAAAGAAGCTGTCACGCTGACACAAATAAAAAGTGTAAACAGGTTTCTATTGATTTTCCTCAAGCGTAAAGGGTTTTTTGGCCTTGGAAGATGATAAAATGGACTCCGCTTACATACAGTAGTGCTTTATCAAGTCCCGTCCAAAGTACTTTACACTTAGACATTCACACACTGATGGTGGTAAGCTACAATGTAGCCACAGCTTCTCTAAACGGGTTCCCAAATTTTTCCATGTCATGGACCCCGAAACTGCGTTAACCTCTGATGGACTCTCCCTACAAACCTATAAAAATATTACAAAATATGTAAAGAAACATCAACATTTAGAATGTTTTTTTCACTTTTATTCACTATTTAATAATTATTAAATTTGATTAGTAAAATAACTGATGTTAATTTACTAGCATATTTAAAACACTATTTTCACTGGAAAATCAACTTTTCAACAAACGACAAGAACAGAACAAAAGAAATCAAACTTTTCTTAAGCTCAAATTAATAACATTTTTTAATATTTTAAATCATAGTTTTAAATAATTTAAAAACATTTTAATTTTATGATTCAAAATATATAAGATTCAATTTATTCTTGCATTTTTCGTAACATCCCACCAGATTTCTGAGGCCCCCCACTTTGAAAAACAGCTTTAATAGACTAGAACGTCAAGATGTCACCACCTGGATTCAACTAAGCAAAGAGTAAGAGTCTCCTATTGGACGATTACTGCACGAGTGATCATGTTTCAGCTGACAAGTTATTTAACTGATGCAGTGAGCAGCTTCTGTGTTCAACCATGTTAAATGACATCCTGTGGTCGAGGAAAATGTTATCTGTTTCAGAATATTAAATTATTGGCATCAAGCAGAGAAAACATCTTTGCTGAAACGATAAAATCAGGTTGAGAACTGCGAGGAAGGTCTAATGAGTCCAGGTTGACCCTGTTCCAGTGTGATGGGGTTGGGGGGATAAGGGTTAGAAGAGAGCCTGAAGTGATGCACCTACCATGTCTAGTGTTCTGTAATGACCAGGTTATACCATGGATTTCTTTCTTCTCTGATGACATGTTTCAAGATGACAGTGCCAGGAGTCGTCCGACTCAAACTGTGAACGATTGGTTCAGGAAGCACGAGACGTCATTTTCACACCACCAGAGTCCGGACCTGAACCCCATTAGCTAAGGCAGGGCCTCCCCTAGCCAAATTGGCGTCCTAGGCAAGATTTCAGGAGGCGCCTCTTGTGCAATTTTCTACATCTCCCTGCCAGTCTACATACATTCACATACCAAATGAGTTTTGTCTGATGGTTTTTAGCTTTGGAAATCAGGTTGTCTATATTTTTAACTATTTTAACTAAACAGAATACCAGACGTCTCATACCTGCCAACATTTGTTGATACTGAACACCTGTTTATATTAACCAGCAGCTGTGGAGGGAAGCAGTTCTAGSGGGGTTCAGGGTTATACTCCCCCAGAACATTTAGTAAAAGACCAACTCAAAACTACATTTTTTTGCCATTTGGAGGAGGTTTTTACTACATTCTTGAGAGTAATAGAAACATAAAATCAGTATTTTATGAGGGTAGAACACTGAAAACCAGACTTAGACCTGAACTTTATSTRAGATCATAACTGAAACTCACATATCTTTATTTTATTTTCTAGTCACTGAGCACCAGTAKTTAGTCTTGACTGCATCATGTGATATTTTTATTATGAAACAKCCTCAGCACCATATAATTTCATGTTGTAAAAAAAAAGAGTTTTAAAGTTATAAACCTGAGATACCAGTGATTATTCTACAGCTTAACTCAACTCTGATAAAAAAAAAGTTATAAAATAGTTTTTTTTTCATCTACCTTTTGTGGTGACCCCTAAATGGACGATACTCTTAACATTTGCCTATACTTATTATGACACAGGCCTGCCCTGATCTATGGGATGTGTTGGCAGAATTTCTCATTGGCCAAAATCATCATCAATATAAGATCCTGGCAAAAAGTTAATGCARCTGGACCAGGGGCGGAGCCAGGGGGTGRCCAGGGCCACCACAGACAAATCTTTGGCCACCCCATTGCCCACCCCGCTGTACACACCCCTTCCA